CAATGTTTGTGGTGAGGAAAAAAAATTAATTTTCTACATAAATGTTGCATTTTTCTGGGTATTTCTTACACTTGATATGTGCCACTGTCATAAAATACCCCAAATTATGCTAAATTACATCTTCTGAGTAAAACAATATGCCCAATGTATGATCTAGGCATTTTGTAAAGTTACAGTGCTGTAAAATAGACGTGACAAGTTCAGGTTTTAAAGTGTGAATTTCAATAGATTGTGTTGATGAGTCTGTGTTCCATTTTGGGGCACTTTAGCAGGCTACATATTCCATCATAAAGGCATATTTTGAACCTTAGAGTGGGATAATTGTTCCGCTCGCTTGTACTTGTAGCAATTCTTCTGCCCTTTTGACACACTAAGTGAATTTGCACAGTATATTTTGCAAACTTAGTGTGTGCTACGGCTGTGTAATATTTTTTATGTTGCTCAGCTATGTCGTGTACAGCAATACCCCTGTATGTACCTTTACCAGGTGTATGTGGACGTTGAAGGGGAGACACAGCAATTCCAGTTTTTTGGGTTTTTTTTCAAACTTTTTATTTTTACGCTGTGTCCATGTTCCATTTTGGAGTAGTTTAGCTGCTTATTCAAACTACCCCATAAACGCATACCATTTTTGTTTAAGAATGCACCCTGGGTTATTTCAAAAGGAATATTTTGAACCTTAGTGTGGGACCAGGTGGTACGTGAAAATTTTGATAATGGCGGCAGCGGGCTGGGAACCCGGCCAATGGGCAAATGCCTGGTGGGTCGCAATGGCCATGGGCCGACAGGGCAGATCACAGGATGTCCCCTACCAGCCATAGCTGGGCCAGCGATATCCGGCAATCGGCCCTGCTGTGTGTGCCTTTATAGGCCAGTGGGGAGATCAAAGATCACCAACCCAAAGGCACTAACAGGCTCTACATTTACCTGTCACAGCACTCTGATTGGTTGGCTTACTGGGAAATGATTTTGCCCCCCTTGTTTCTGCTTATGCCCCACTGGGCCCCGCGGAGGGCAACCCTGTGACTATCCGTGCCCAGACCCGTGCTGCTGGAACCAGCCCACCTGCTGCTGAGACACAGGTAAGGACACCTACCCCGACTATTACCCTAGAACAGGCCCCCCTAGGCTGGGACACTCCAGAGGCATTTGGGAAAGAGACCAGATCCTTCAGAAGTATAGGGCCAAGGCAGACACCTGGGAGAGGGGAGCAGATGGGGAACTCTATGAGTGGGTGGGGGATAGGCAATATAGGATCCCCAAGAAATCCACAACAGGGAAGACCCCTTAGCAGAAGAGCCAGAGCCAAGAAATACCAGCTGGAAATTCTGCGAATCAGGCATGATGTCCCCCTAGCAGGACATCTAGGAGTATGCCGCATGGCCCATAGGATTATCCAGAATTTCTTCTGGTCCAGTTTTAATAGGGACGTGCGACAGTACTGCAGGACTTGTGACACGTGTCAACGGGTAGGAAAGCAGGGGGACCGCTCTAAGCCCAGATTAATGTCGATGCCTATTATTGGGGAGCCCTTTTACTGCATAGCAGTTGACATTGTGGGTCCCTTAGCTAGACATAGTCCATCTGGGAAGAAGTACATTCTTACCGTGGTGGACTATGCCACATGTTACCCAGAGGCAGTAGCTATGTCCAATATCGAGGCAGAGACAGTAGCCGATGCCCTGGTTAAAATATTCACCCGAGTGGGCTTCCCTAAGGAGATCCTATCAGATCAGGGGACCCAGTTCACTGCTGTCCTCACCCAGCAGTTGTGGAAGGTGTGCAACATTAATCCCCTGTTGAGTTCACCTTACCACCCACAGACTAACGGTCTCTGCGAACGCTTTAATGGAACCCTCAAGCAAATCCTGAGGACCTTTACTGACACCTGCAGAGACTGGGATTCCTACCACGCCTGTTATTTGCATACAGAGAGGTACCCCAGGAATCTACAGGGTTCTCTCCCTTCAAGCTACTCTATGGGAGAAGGGTCCGCGGGTCCCTGGATCCCATTAGAGGACACTGGGAGGGAGAGACAGAACAGGAGGGGACCCCCATAGTACCATACATGCTGGAATTCTGGGACCGCATGGAGCAACTGTCTCTGATGGTAAGAGAGAATCTCCAGGCACCAAGGGGAGACAGAAAAGGTGGTACGACCGGGGTGCCAAACAGCGCACTTTCCAGGTTGGGCAAAAGGTCCTAGTGCTCAAACCTGTGAAAACGGACAAGCTGCAGGCATCTTGGCAGGGCCCGTATAAAGTAGTGGCCCAACTCTGTGACACTTCGTATGTCATTGCCAGCTGTGCAGATGAAAGGATCCAGCGGTCCTTTCATGTGAACATGCTGAGGGAATATGAGGAAAGGCAGGAAGATATCGATGCGGTATGTTTACCCCTCCCTGACCTATTAGAAAGGGAAACCCAGACTGACCTCACTAGTCTAGTGAAGTTAGGAGACCAGTTAAGCCCCACAGAAACCGAGCAAGCCAAACAGCTGCTGTTGGAAAAACAGACTACCTATTCCCAAGAACCAGGATACACTACCAGGAGATGACTCAGGTAGGAGTCATTGAGCACTCAGACAGTCCCTGGGCCTCACCTGTAGTCCTTGTACCCAAGAAGGTTGGATCCACCAGGTTTTGCGTGGACTACAGGCGGCTCAATGAAAACACTACCACTGACGCCTACCCGATGCCCTGGGTGGACGAACTGCTAGATTGTATAGCCAGGAGACGTTATCTAACTACAATAGACCTGTGTAAAGGCTATTGGCAGATTTCCCTGGCCGAGGAAGCTATCCCCAAGTCGGCATTTGTCACCCTGTTTGGCCTGTACCAGTTTAAGGTCATGCCATTCGGGATGAAAAATGCCCCGGCTACCTTCCAACGTATGGTGGATAAGCTCCTCGATGGCTTCTAGGATTTTGCATGTGCATACCTGGATGACATTGCGATCTACAGTGAGTCTTGGGAAGACCACCTGGTTCACGTCGGGGTAGTTCTGGACAAGATTTGGGGCGCAGGCCTGACCTTGAAGCCAGATAAGTGCCACTTAGGTATGGCTGAAGTGCAGTATTTGGGTCACAGAGTGGGGTGTGGGAACCAGAGACCAGAACTGGCCAAGGTGGAGGTGGTAGCTAACTGGCCCACACCTCGCACTAAGACCCAGGTGCTAGCCTTCTTAGGGACTGCAGGGTATTATAGATATTTTGTCCCTGACTGTAGTGCTATAGCCAAACCCTTGACTGATCTGACAAAGAAGAATTTTCCTAGGCAGGTCCTGTGGTCTCCAGCTTGTGAAGCTGCGTTTCCAGCCCTCAAGCAAGCACTTGTTAATGCCCCTGTCTTGGCTGCCCCGGTACCTAACAAACGTTTCCTTGTCCACACACAGACACTTCCATGTTTGGACTGGGGGCACTGCTGAGCCAGGTCGGGGAGGACACCCTGTCGCATATCTCAGCAGAAAGCTACTACCCAGAGAAGTGAGCTATGTGGCACACTGCACTCCTCAGGTCGGGGAGGACACCCTGTCGCATATCTCAGCAGAAAGCTACTACCCAGAGAAGTGAGCTATGTGGCACACTGCACTCCTCACACACAGAGCACCCCTCATAAACACACACACTGCATCCCTTTACTCACTACATCCTATATGCTCACACTCTGCATTCCCTATGCACATATGCAAAAACAAGTACTATCTTCCCTAAACACAATCTGAAGCCCCTAAAACACACTACACACACACACACTACAGCCCCGATGCACACACATGAAAGCACCTATATGCACACACTTTCTAGAGCCCCTAGCTACACAGATTACACCACAAACACAACACAACTGAGTGACCTATTTACACCAAACACATTACAATCTGTTCTCTCTCTCTATCTCTCTCTCTCTATATATATATATATATATATATATGTATATATAATCCCACAAGAAGTTCCAAACACGTGCACAATACTCTTTCCTGGCCCATTTGCCCTATGGTATCTTACTTATTGAGACACCAGAGACAAGTCACAAGCAACTGCAGTGCAAGCGTGTAATTACATCTACATGCGCTGCTCAGAACAAATACAGGGCCTTTTCTCATGCAAGAGCTCCTCACCAGCGCCCTGCACATTGGCTGCTGGAGGAGCATTGAATTAATATAGTCACTGAGGGAAGCATGCTGGTCATTGGTGATGACACAACAGCCACCCCTCCTCCTCTGGCCTCACCCTCTTCCCACTGAGCCAAATTTTTTCCCCTGTCTGGCCCATGTACTTAGGGTCACCCAAAACACATGTGCCTCCAGGGGCCCAGTCGCACCCTGCTGCACTTTATTAGGACGACCGGACCCCTATGCTAGTGCAGCCAGAGCTGAGAGGAAGTAACAGCTTCTAACTACTTCCTCCCAGCCCACACAGTAAACAAGTCACACGGGAGAGAAGGGGGCAGGGTGGAGAGAGCAGCAGGGCCCCAACTCCCACCAGACCCAACCAGCCAAAAGGTAGGAATGTGTTTTTGTGTATCTGTGTGTGTGTAGTGTTTGTGTATCATTGTATCTGTGAGTCTGTACATCTGTACCTGTATGTATGTCAGTGTGTGTATCTGCATGTTGAGTTTAACTAGTCCCTTATAACAAGTTCCCCTAGCTTAACGGGAGGTCACTTGAGTGCCCCTCATAATGCCCCCAACCAACACGGAACTTATGAGCCACCCCACTAGGTCCTCCCCAGGATCTTTACTGACCACCCGACTCATTACATCACCACAAGGCTGTAACTGTCCCTTAGCCAACGTTTCTCATAGGGCCTAGCCCCCACCCCCTCTATAACAAGGGTATCCAAACCACCATAGCACCCATATAACGAGAAGCCTACCTCTCCACCAGTGGTATTTCACAAAGCGTATAACTCATTTCTTTTAAATTATTCCCCCGCAGCTCATCTCTTGTATATCATTTGAATCATGGCTCATCACTTTGTATTCTCTTCTTTTTTTCCTTTACTTTTTATTTGTATTTTTCAACAAGTTAGACATGACTATACAATTACATATTTGAATAACATATTAGTGATTATGATAACATTCATCCTATAAACATACCAGTGGCCTCTGCAACCCATTGCTACAGCAGACCTTTACCCTGTTCAATCAGTGAGAGTCCCCATCCCAATCAGTTCAATAAAGGGAAGAAATATAAAAAGCTGGCAGAAGGTAACTGTTCAGCTTACCATCTATAATTATCTTATTCAATATTGTATCCCATTTCTCCCATAAGTCAGAAGATTCTTCTATACAATTGGTATAACCCTTTTCCATTCTTAACTCAAATAATATTAGAGAAGTGGTTCCCAAACCAGTCCTCATGGCCCACCAACAGTCCAGGATTTATGTATTTCCCTGTTTTATTCCAATGGAGATACTAACAAAACCTGGACTGTTGGTGGGTCTTGAGGACTGGTTTGGGAAACGCTGTATTAGAGCACTTAACTGAGAGATAGTAAAGTCATTCTCTCCTTTCCAATTTTTTGCTATTATTTTTTTTAGTACCAATCAAACAATGTTTTATCAAGAATTGATCTATTTGTTTCAAGTTTGGCCAATGTAATACCATTGTTACAAGGGTTTTTGGAAATTTAACCTCACTTAATCTGAATAAAATATTTTGCGTCCATTGCCATATTACTAAAACCTTATTACATGCCCACCACATATGGCTATAATTTCCAATAGCAGCTACACAATTCCAACATTTTCCATTTGATTCTGAAACAAACTTAAAAAATCGTACAGGAGTCAGGTACCATAGGTTAATCATTTTATTCTCCTGTAACAATCCTTTCATTAATTTATAGATAAAACCACCTGTAAGTATTTCAACTCTTTCTAAAAAATGTTTATCTTTTATGTATGTAAATGTTTCAACAACTGTCAGGTGGAATTCTTGTATAGGACTCTTGTATGGTTTTAATTTATTATTTGAAACTAACTCTTTAACAGTAAGTATATCTCTAGATTTTCATGTGTTTAATGACAAATTAGTCATATTTCACCAACACATTTTGAAAATAAAAAAATGAGAATTTTAGTGCTAATCTCTTTTATTCCATATAGGAGATATTTGTTTCCATATGAAAAAAATTGAGAAATTAAAATTTTTATTATTCCATATTATATCTATTGGGCTATTAATTTGACAAACTTCTCTTTGCATACCGGGAGGTGCCTCAGGAATCCACGGGATTCTCACCCTTTGAGCTACTGTACGGAAGGCGAGTCAGGGGGCCCCTAGACCTTATTAAGAATCATTGGGAAGGCCAGACCGAGATTGAGGGTACTCCAATCGTGTCCTATGTGCTGTGGTTGAGGGACCACATGGATGAACTGGCCCAGACGGTAAGGGAGAACCTCCAGGTGGCTCAACAGCATCAGAAAGTATGATACGATCAGAGAGCCAGGCACCGCAGCGTTCAAATTGGGCAAAAGGTCATGGTATTAAGGCCAGTCCGCATGGACAAGCTCCAGGCTGCCTGGCAGGGCCCATACAAAGTCATAGGGCAGGTATGTGATACCACATATACAGTAGCGAACTGTGAGAATGAGGATGTGAAACAGACCTTTCACATCAACATGCTCAAGGCGTATAACGAAAGGGCTGAAGAAGTGACGGCCACATGTGTTCAAGCCGGGGAGGACACAGAGGCTTTACCCTTGTCAGATTTGTTAGGAGAGGCTGGGGAGACGAGGGATATAGATTTGCTCCGCTTGCTGTAAACCAAACAAGACACGTTCTCCCAGGAACCCGGGTATACCCATCTGGCAGTCCACAAGGTAGCACTCCAGGGTAGGCCCCCTTGAGACAGCCTCCTTACCGCATCCCCGAGGCCGTTAGGGATGGAATGCAGAAGGAGATAGATGAGATGCTGCGGCTAGGAGTGATAGAACACTCTGACAGTCCTTGGGCCTCACCTGTGGTCCTGGTACCGAAGCAGGACGGCACGACCCGCTTCTGTGTCAATTACAGGTGGCTCAACGACAAGACGGTATGTATGCTTATATTTATTGTGAGGTTTAAAGGGATACTCACTAAGGTGTTTAGAGTTTCTATTTATATTCATATTACTCACTGGGATTCTGTTTTAACTTTTTCATCTAAGGGGAAGTACTTGACCACGATAGACCTCTACAAAGGATATTGGCAGATTCCCTTGGCAGATGGCGCGGTCCCCAAGTCAGCCTTCATCACCCCGTTCGGCCTCTACCAGTTTCGGGTTATGCCGTTCGGGTTGAAGAACGCCCCTGCCACCTTCCAACGGATGGACCGCCTATTAGAGGGTCTCCAGGATTATGCGTGTGCCTACCTGGACGATATCACTATTTATAGTGATACCTGGGAGGCACACTTAGAGCATGTAGGGTCCGTATTAGATAGGATTAGGGGGGTCGGCTTGACCTTGAAGCCTGAGAAGTGCCACTTTGGTATGGCGGAGGTGCAATATTTGGGTCACCGGGTTGGATGAGGTAGGCAATGGCCAGAGCCCGCTAAGATCGAGGCCGTTGCCAACTGGCCCACTCCCCGTACAAAGACGCAGGTCATGGCATTCCTGGAAACAGCCGGTTACTACAGGCGCTTTGTCCCTGACTATAGTACCCTAGCCAAACCCCTGACTGACTTGACAAAAAAGAAGCTACCCCGACAAGTCCTGTGGTCCTCAGAGTGTGAGGTGGCTTTCCAAGCGTTAAAACAAGCTCTTGTCAATGCCCCCATATTAGCTGCCCCAGATCCTAACAAACGCTTTATCATCCACACAGACGCTTCAATGTTTGGACTGGGGGCAGTTTTGAGTCAGATTGGAGAAGACGGAGGAGAGCAACCGGTCGCCTACCTAAGCTGGAAACTTCTGCCCAGGGAGGTCAGCTACTCAGCCATTGAAAAAGAGTGCCCAGTGGTCTGGGCTCTCAAGAAACTGACTCCGTACCTGTATGGCCGTGCCTTCACCTTGATCACAGACCACAGTCCTCTAGTTTGGCTCAACCGGGTCTCTGGTGACAATGCCCACTTGCTCCGGTGGAGTCTTGCCCTCCAACCCTACGACTTCACCATACACTATCGGCCGGGCAAACAAAATGGGAATGCTGATGGGCTATCCTGCCAAACAGACTTACTCTCGAACTAATGGCTGGGAGACCCGTCAGCATTACTGGACCGGGAAAGGTCCAGCCACATCTGCCGGAGCAGGGAGTAAAAGGGGAGCCATTGTGAAGAATCACCCTCCAGCATTCGGTACTTTCCCTCCCTGCTACTTTGTTTGTTGGATTTATTACCTTTATTACTAGTTCATTCGTTACTTTCTATTCGTCAAAATCCCTTGTTCGGTAAAATAGCTACTTTACCGAACAAGGACCACCCTGGGTAGCAATTAGAACGTAGAATCCTGTGTTATTGTATGAAACCACAAGCTAACTGAGTGCTCCTGGGTGGCCGCCATTCCGGGATATGAACACGTGGCGAGAACAATTGATGGCGGCCATCTTAACCTCCCGAATGGATGGCCAGCGGGACTTAGGCATCGAGCGCCTGGAACTAATTTCGGCATGGCTCTCCAGCAATCCCCGGTCCCCCATGGAATTCCCGTTTGACCCATTTACACGAATTGCACACGAATGGCGTTCGGGAGTTTCAATCTACCGAACGAGGGGAGCACTCTCATGTAACCAGCTACATTATATCTATGGGGGTTTTCATGCAATTTTCATCCGAATGGAGACCGGCTCACACCACTGATTTCATAGAACTCTGAGTCGGCTACAACCTCATAGCGAGCCAGTCAAACTTCCAAACGGTATAACTCCAAAACTACCAAATGGATTCTCACGAAATTTGGATATGTTGCTCACATCACCCTCAGCTACCCATATGTTATGTATAAAGTATGTTTTTAATAATTGTGAAAAATATTAACTTTTCTGGCCACTAGATAATTGAGTTTGATAAGTGCTCAAACCCAATTATCTAGCCTGGCCCAGAGGAGGAGTTATGTACTGTATAAATTGTGTGCCCTGTTTCTCAGTAAATCAGACTTGTTCCAGCATTAAGCCTTGGCTCATGTGTGGATTATTCGGCAATACCAGCGATTTATTACTCTGTGGATTACTTGGTGATTTTATTTTATGGGAAGAAGGGAATGTTCGACGGAGTAAAGGATTGTACCGTCACAGTTAGTTTCTTTCAGAAGATCCGTGAACTTACTCTGCATTATTTTATTTAATTTCTCACAAATTTTAATTCCCAAATAGACAAAGGATTTCTGATTTAAAAAATCACATCTGTCCTGATAATTATCCATTTCATTTTTTGGTATATTTATATATAACGCTACTGACTTTGAATTATTTAATTTTTAATTTGAAGCTGCACCATAAATCTATAATTCCTCCATCATTTTATAGAATTTATTACCAAATCTGTGCACTTCCAAATCTACTAGGTTTGTTGCAAGGGGAGGAGAAAGAGCCAATGGGAAATATTTACCCTTCTAGTTAGCTCCAAAAAAAAATAAAAATCAATCCTTTTATTATTTGCCCTTTGTTTCCTCATATTAGCAGTTCTATTGAATCCATTAAGTATTACCAGGGCTAAATCATTAATAATATTATCTGTCATGAATACAATCTTGAGCAGTGTTATTTCACTTTTCCCATAACTTCTTTCTCCTTTTATTTTTCTTTCCCTTTTAAGAAATTGTTTTATCAATATAATTCTGTGATACGTTTATTTCATTACTAAATTGTCTAACTAATTTGTGTTTCCATGTCCCTTTACTACCTGATGTGACCAGGTATAGTGTTTGAAGTATTTCAATCCTAACCTTGAAGTGTTTTCCTATGTTATCTTATATCTTCTTTATTATTTAGGTTTCTTTCTTAATATAGTGAGTTCTGTATTAAATATTATTTCTTATATGTTATCTTCATTAGTGTTAAAACTCAAACTATTAGGGTAAACAAACAAAAAATAATCCTATATATCATGAGCAGCAATCTCTCTCTTGAGCAACATTTTTTCTTAATCTCTCAGGAGAAAAATTTAGTGAGAAATTTGAGTGAGAGATGCAGAGGTTGTCTCTAGCGTTACGTGTGGTGGGGTGTTGTCTATCTCCGTTACGGGGGATGGAGCCGTGATGGTGTTCCCAACCTGGGGTGTCGTGCCCGATTGCTTGCTTTGTTCTTGCGTTTGTGAACAATTGCGTAATCTTAAGTATAGGGATGGGGGGGAGGGAGAAACTGGGAGAACATGGGGTTATATGGTATCTAAGTCGTGTCCTTAGTAAAGTCCTGAATTGACAGTCCCAAGGCGAGCTTAAACCCAGCAGGTATGGCTGGCGGGTTTCCTGTCGAGCAGCCGTCTCACGTTGGATCTTTCCTGAGGTTTAAATCCGGTCCGCTGTTCTTGCAGTCATCGATCTTGGGACGAAGGGCTTTGCGTGTGCCGGGGCCCAGACTGATGTGGAGGCTCTCGGTCCTGTGTTATCCGGTAAGTGTGTCAGGCCCAGGACCGTCAGGAATGGTGAGGTATCTTCCATTGAGGGAAGTATGTGTATGCCGCCATTTCTGGTCACTGTCAGGAACCCGTTCGCTCCCCATCTGTAGCTTATGTTGGCTGACTGAAGCTGGCTAGTCACCGGTTGGAACGTTTTACGCCACTGGAGGGTTGCCTTTGTGAGATCCTGGTAAAACGTCAGGGATGCTTCTTTGAATTGCAGGGGGGTTTGCCCTTTAGTGCTGACATTATGAGTATTTTGTTTTGTGTTGTGGCGCACCGGAGTATGACATCCCTCGGTACCGTTGTTGATGTCGCTTTGGGCCCTGGTAGGCGGTATATTTCCTCGCAACCGAAATACAGTTACAAGAACAAGTATGTGAACCCTTTGGAATTATATGGATTTCTGCACAAATTGGTCATAAAATGTGATCTGATCATCATCTAAGTCACAACAATAGACAATCACAGTCTGCTTAAACTAATAACACACAAAGAATGAAATGTGAATGTTTACATGGTGTGTTCAATAAAAACATGGCAACATTTCATTCTTTGTGTGTTATTAGTTTAAGCAGACTGTGATTGTCTATTGTTGTGACTTAGATGATGATCAGATCACATTTAATGACCAATTTGTGCAGAAATCCATATCATTCCAAAGGGTTCACATACTTTTTCTTGCAACTGTAGTGGAATATTGTTTGAGTGGAGAAAACCGACTGCAACAAACGAAAACCCAGTGGAGAGCTAAATATATACACTTACCCTTATATAAGGGAATGAATAAAACAGAATGTCTAAATGGGAGAAATGGACAGAATATGGTGTAGTATGTCTAAGTACAAAAAATACTTTCCTGGCTAATCATGGCAGCATATACACATGGATTAGCTCCTCCCCTTACAGCCAAAAGGAGGATCCAGAGAAGAGACCCTCAGTCTTTTTCCTGTCCTTACAGCCCTTAGAAATGGGAGCTTTTTTTTTTTTTTTTTTTAAAGCTCCCTCTATAATTTTAAATACTCTACTACTTTCACCATTTCTTTTGCAGTGTGCTGTAAAGTGCACAGTGTATGATTTAATTAATCCCTACAATCCTCTTTCTAGGTGATTCCCCTCTTTACCCGGTTTTATTCTTACCAGGTCAGTCCTGGGCTGCCTGAGACCTTTAGGAGTCTTCCTAACTGCAATTAGGGTCCCTGGCTTTCCGTCCTCGGTTCTCCCAGGTCGGGAGCTCGGATAGGACGCCCGCACATGCGCAATGCGCTCGGTTCGTATTGGCGCCAGAATGCAGTCTGGGTCGCGGCGGCCATCTTTACTATGGGCAAGATCCGAAAATTACAGGTAATTTGCAGAAAACGCCAGAAACAGGTTAGTAAACGGCTGGTACTATTTAAAAGAAGCTGGAACTCGAAGAGGTTGTTGTGGATTCAGTTATTTTACAATTTGAATTGGATTATCTAAAAGAGAAGCTAGGACTCTGGAATAATTTCTATTCTTTGCCACAGGTTTGTGTATTTCTGATATACATGTATCCCTTTATTTTTATAATTTGTTTTGTGTATTCTAAGAGAATTATTTGAAATTCTTTATTGTAGTTAGCACATTATGAGCTCTACTAGTAGGAACCCTTTACCCTGTTCAGCAGAATCCAGGTGAGTAGGACTCCAAATATATTTTATATATAACGTTAATGATGTTTTTAATCTACTAACAGTTACTTATACTACTTTTAGTAATGGAGAACAGTCTATATCATCTTCCCCACGAAAGAGGAGACAGAAGTCAGACCCCTGTGCAGGATGTGATGGGAAGGCATTGGAAGGCAAACAGCTGTGCTTAAACTGTTTGCAGAAGGTGGCCACTCCAGCAGCCGTAACACCCACTCAGTCACCAGATATCCTGACTTGGATCCGACAGGAGGTGGGTCAGGGCATCTCAGAGGCCATGGAGGCAAGTAATCGGTCCGTGAAAAGACCAAGACAGAGACTGGTATCCTCAGAATCATCTGTCTCAGAATACCAGGGTTCAGCTGAAGAGTTTCAGGTTCTCGATCAGATTTATTCTAGTGAGAACGAAGAAGAGGTCTTGTCGGAATATCTAGACGCCAAGACGGTGGATAAACTCATCCTGAAGGTAAGAAAGACCCTAGAATTACCAGAAGATCTTCCTAAACCTGAAGTTTCTGATAAACATTTTGTGGATCTTAGGAAGCAGAAGCCTTCCTTCCCTCTTCACAGAGCCATTAAGGAGGTGGTTACCGCAGAATGGGAAAAACCTGATAAAAAGGTTCCATTTCAGGGCAGGCTATCCAGGCTTTACCCTTTGGAGGAGAAAACTTCAAAAAAATGGACGACACCTCCAAAAGTTGATGCTACCATCTCTAGGGTTGCTAGGAGAACTAGTCTACCACTGGAGAGTGCAGCCTCCTTGCAGGAACCAATGGATAAGAAATTGGATTCTGATCTTTCCAAGATATACTCAGCGGGAGGTACTGGATGCCATTCAGCTGTTTGTCTTACGGCGGTGTCCAGAGCCATGAAAAGTTGGATAAAAGACCTGGATACAGATGCGGAAAGAGGAATTAAGAGAACAAACCTCAGGGATTCTATTTACGACCTTCGGATAGCTACGGAATTTGTCGCTCAAGCTGCCCTGGATATCACCAGGATCTTCTCCCGCACCATGGCCCTCTCGGTAGCAGCTAGGAGAGCTTTATGGTTGCATTATTGGGGTGTGGATTCCTTTTCCAAGGCCAATTTATGTTCCATAACTTTTGAGGCTGAGCTTCTATTTGGAAAGACCCTAGAGGAATCCATTAAAAAAGCTGCTGAGGGGCATAAGGTCTTTCTACCCCAGGAGAAAAGAACCAGAAGACCAGGCTCCTCTGGGTCAGATAAGCGACCTCCGAGGGATCAATATTTTTAGGATGCTCGTAGCTACCGACCAGGTAGAGAGTTCAACAGGAGTAATAATTGTCGTGGGGGCCAATCATATGCTTCACGTTCTTCCCGAGGTAGAAACCCTTCCTTTCGTGGAGGCAAGAACTTCTGACTATCCGTCAGAGGTCGGTGCTCGACTTTCCCTCTTCTGGAAGGTTTGGGCACAGGACATACAAGATGCCTGGGTCAAAGCTATAATTTAAAGAGTGTACAGATTGGAATTCCTCAGAAGACCCAGAAGCAACTTCTTCGTTCCCACAAGTCTGCCCACGGACAAGGGCAGAAGCAGGGCTCTGGGAGATTATGTTCAGAACCTCAGGTCCCAAAGGGTTATTGTTTCAGTGCCAGAAGAGGAACGATTCCAGGGGCACTATTCACCTCTGTTCTTAGTCCAGAAAGACAAGGACAAGTGGAGACCTATCCTGGACCTGCGGAGGATCAACAGGAGACTTCTAATCAGATCCTTCAAGATGGAGTCTATAAGATCCATCTCCCCAGCTATCACATCCCGATAGCCAAGCAACATCATCGTTTTCTCCAATTTCCTATAGGAGAAGACCACTTCCAATTCAGAGCACTTCCATTTGGTCTGAGCACAGCACCCAGAACCTTTTCAAAGGTATTGGTCGTTCTTATAGAAAGGCTGAGGAGTCAGGGAATCTCTTTGTTCCATTACCTGGACGACCTTCTGCTGGTAGCACCAAACGTCCAGACGGCGGTGCTTCACAGAGAATTTGTGCTATCAGAACATCATCGATTCGGCTGGTTAGTGAATCTACAAAAAAGCAGCCTCATTCCATCCCAGATGATTACGTTTCTGGGGGCGAACTTCGACACACTCCGGAACTCTATCTCCCTTTCACAGGAAAGGATACAGAGGATTTTAAGCTTCATCTACAAGATTCTGCACCTCCGTGTGATTACAGCAAGAACATACTTGCAACTGCTGGGCAATCTGACCTCTTCTATAGGACTAGTCAGGTGGGCCCAGTGGCATCTCAGAGTTCCTCAGAGGTCGTTCCTGAACCGGCGGGTTATGGATTGGAATCAACCCTTGAGGATCTCTCATGTAGTCAAAATGGAACTGGTCTGGTGGCTAAGAAGGGTGAATTTGGAAAGAGGTCCTATTAACAACAGATTCTAGCACTCATGGTTGGGGTGCCCACTGTCAGGACCGGATGACTCAAGGTCGATGGAACAAACAGGAGTCGGTTCTTCCGGGGAATTACGGGCCATCCAGAGCTCTCATACACTTCAGGAGGATCCTGAAGAACAGATGGATACGAGTCCAGTCCGACAACCAGGCGGCTGTGGCCTATGTTTCTCATCAAGGCGGTACTCGCAGCCTACTGTTGATGAAGGAACTGCGGCCCATTATGAGTTAGTGCCAGAAAAATGTTCAGGGTATCTCTGCAGTATACCTTCCGGGAATTCAGAATACCATGGCGGACTACCTGAGCCGCGTGACCATAGACAGGAGCAAGTGGCATCTCAGCCCCGAAGTATTTCAGGAGCTGTCTTTGATTTGGGGAACCCCAGAGATAGACCTCATGGCAACGGCCGAGAATACCCAGGTCGAAGCCTTCTTCTCGAGACTGGTCGATCACAAAGCCAACCTTGGAAGTTCACTCTGGCCTATGTGTTCCCTCCTATACCTCTCATATTCCCAACTCTGAAGATTCAGAAGGAGAAGGTAGATGTCATCGCCATCCCCCCGTTCTGGCCCCGGCGACCCTGGTTCCCTATGGCGAGACGGATGAGTCGGGAACCTCCGAGGGTACTCCTGTTCCAGGCAGATTTACTATCACAGGGACCACTGCTACACCCAAACCCGCTAACCCTCAAGTTGTGGGCTTGGAGATTGAGTGGGAAGCTCTGATGAACGCTGACATGCCTGACACAGTCATTAGAACTCTCCTGACGGAGGGTCTCTTCTCCTTTTAGAAGAATTTGTTTAAACCTGTCCTATTGGCTGTAAGGGGAGTTGCTAACCCATGTGTATATGCTGCCATGAATAATAGCCAGGAAAAGAAAATTATGGTAAGTATGAATAAATTTTCCACTATATAGTCTGTAAGAAACACACTCACATGGTGCTGAGCCTTATAGGGATAGGCTCAAGTCACTTGCGCAGAGGTATTTTAAGTTATACCAAAACTACTTCTGTGTAGAGATGTAGAATACTCAAAAAGGAGAGATAAAACATATATAGTGAATTACCCTCACTGTAAAAAAGTGAATACAATATACCAATCACTGCTCACCTTGTTCAGAGCCAAATGACTGGGCTCTCAGGGTAATGCGCACTGTGCCTTTAAGAGGGCACAACTCTTCTTTTAGCAGAGGACAACAGCAACATATGGGACTTGGAAATAGATTAAAAATAATTTACCAAAATAATGTATATATAAAAACAAAATAAAAAATACAAAATACCATAAGTATTATAGTCCCAAAATGGAAGATATGCAGCCCAAAATTGTCCGAGACGCATTTCGCCTGAACCAACATGCTCTCTCAATCGGTGTCCTCTTATGCGCATTAAGCCGGTTTTATATCCGGCGGTTCATCTGTAATTGGTCCCCTGTCGTGTGTCTCGTCCAATCAATGCGTTGGTTTAGGGGGGGGAAGCGGTTTGCAGTCAGTCCCGTACAAATGGAAGTGACGTATCAGAGAATATCCGACGTCACTTCCGGTATCGCAGTATCGCCATTTTTTGTATTGGCATAGTGTTAGCCGGTATTGTGGCTAAGGGCAAGTTCATAATTTCCAATACTGATCAATATAAAAAGAAACAAAGCATTAGAACACATTCTTTATAAGAAGTTTGTAAGAAAAACAATGATTATTACATATACATTAGCTCATCTTGTGAATGTTATACTCTATATATTAACACATATTAAGAGATAAGGACATGATCATAATCCACATAATTGGTGTTAAAGTATCCTGAACATCCTATACATATATACACAAAAAATTTAAACCATATGTCAAATATCTCAAAAGAATCACATAAAACAGTATCTTATACACATATAAATTAACCTAAAAGGATGGGACTAGATTGAAAAATACTATATTAAAAATACTATGATAAAAAATGTATGAATAAAAAAATCATCCATAAGAAAAATAGTTATAAAAAGTCATCAATAATGTAAATAAGAAAATATTTTTATAAAAAATGACAAAGTTCAAAATCACTGTTCAAACAACTTGGTTGTAAGGTATCCAACGCATTTCTGCTTGTCCCATTCTTTTAATTAAATCACCCCCCCCCTCGAATTTGGGGTTACTTTTTGAAATCCCAAAAATTTTATTTTACTGGGATCACTATTGTGGAAATTCTTAAAATGGAGAGATAAACTATGTTTGAAAGAAAACATTCCTTACATTCCTAATATGCTCCTTTATATGCTCGTCCAATATATAATAGTCCACATGGACAAATGATCATATACACTATTTTCTTAGAGTGACAGGTAATAATGTTTTTGATTTTAAAACTTTTTTTCCGAGTCCTTTGGGTGTACAAATTCCCTGATTTCTCTTTTTTTTAAATGTTCGTATTCCTACATGCTCCACATACCCCACAGCCGTAAAAGCCCATGGGTCCAGTAAATGGATTTTTACCTATTGTATTTATGTGGTTATTCGTGAGACCATTACGTAAATTTGGTATTCCCCGATATATTATTCTGGGTTTATCCTGCAAAAGTGCATTTAGTGTTTCGTCATTTTTTTAAAATGGGCCAATGTTTGGAAATTATTTTCTTCACTTGTTTGCCCTGAGCATTAAAATCACATATAAAAAGGTATCCCATTATTTCCAAGTGTAGAAGATTTGGATTTGTACTCTAATAAAGACTCTCTCTCTCTAAGTGATGTTTCATAATATGCTGTCTGTAATAACTCTCTATCATGGCCCCTTTTTGTAGAAATCTTTGATGTTTTTTTTTAGTTTGTTCTTGGAACACAGTTGTGTCAATGCAATTGCATTTTATCCTTAACAGCTGTGCTTTTGGTGCATTTGAAAGCCAGGGTGAATAGTGACAACTAGTTTGTTGGATGTAGCTGTTAACATCTACTTTCTTAAAGAAAGTGCTTGTCTTAATAGTGTTGTCTTCAATATATATATATATTTAAGTCCAGAAATTCCACTGAATTTTTACGTTTAATGCCCCAATTGTTGTCCTCTAAGTGTTCAAAAAAAACAATCCAAAGACTCACTGTTGCCCTTCCAAATAAAGAAAATATCATCTATGTAACGGCGATAGGTCACCAGGTTTGCACCCCATCTATGATCGCCAAAGATTAACTTATGTTCCCAAAAGGACATAAATAAATTAGCGTAACTAGGTGCAAACCTGGTGCCCATCGCCGTTCCACAGACTTGTAAAAAAAAATTACCATTAAACCAAAAATAGTTATTATTCAGGATCCAGTTGATCCCCTCCAGAATAAAACTTGAGACTCAGGAAATTTTCCTGCGTCATCAAGAAAGTGTTTAGTGGCTTCACAACTCCTGGCATGCTCTATAATTGTATAGAGTGAGTTTACATCCACCGTATATTTCCTCAGTTGTCAGTTTTTTGGCCACCGCATGTGGCAGGAGGGAGGTCAGTAGCCATCTGACATAGTGAGGGAGCTCGTCCGCTGTGACTGCGGTTTGTATGCCCCTTATCTTAATATTGCTGCGGCGGTGGCGGTCTTCCATGGCCGTTATTTGTACTGAGATGGCTCTTTGATGGGACCAGATTTGTTGGACCGAGGTCTGGAGCTCGTGCATGTGTGTTTGGACGTCTGCAATGTCCCTCTCCGAGGCATGTACCCGGTCTGTGATGACCTTCATGTCATTTCTTATTGGAGCGAGTTCAGCAGCAAGTATTTTATGAAAGTCCGCCAACAGGACCTTTAGATCTTGTCTGGTTGTTGGTGTGGAGTCTGTGGGAGCTTCGGTTAGCTTCAGGTGAGTGTCCGTCGGCTGTGCAGCCTCTGTCTGCTCGTTTGAATGAGAATAGGTGTTGGGCCATGTACTGGCGGCGTGCTGTGTGGTCTCCGCCGGGGCGGATTGGGGCTGTACAGGTCTCTGGAACATCGTCTCAATATCTCTATGTTCCGCTACCACTGTCTTCTGCGAGCGGTGGCCCATTGCTAGTGTATGGGTTATGGCGTCGGGTGATGCCTGGAGGGAGTTGTTTACCCGCTGTAACGGCACCCCGAGGCATAAAAGTGTTAAATCGCAGTTTAGAAGATCTTCCCCTTCCAGAGACACAGGCACAGCTACTGTAGACACCAATCCACCCAACCGGAGAAGCATATGAATGCTATAAACAGCCGAACCGGAACCATACGAATGCTGTAAACAGCCGAATAGGAAAAACCATACGAAAGGTTTACACTCCTAGCAGTCGAACTGGAACAGCATACAATATATCCCCCCAAGAACGAGACAAGGCTCCGTTTTGAGGGTCAAGCAGGAACAGACAGAGCTGTGGGTTTATTGTTCTTATATACACATTAGTACCACCCACAGGGTTTTGGAAAACAACCAATAAACATGTACAATACATTCAGACACTCCCACACAAAATCCTCCCTCTGCCTGTGATACAATTACCTTACACAATGGGTAATGTAATTATCACAGACAGAGAAATACAGTTTTTCCACATCTAAAGGCAACAGGCGGGCAACCAGGCTCCTCCAATGCACAGTGGCAAGATTGGTCTCGTCACACCCGCTGTAGTAGGAGCACTTCCAGGCTCGGCTGGGACAAACATGCGGTAGGCCCTGGCTTTCAGTCTCCGTCTGGGCTGGGTCTTCGGTTGAAAAAAGAAAAAAAGGCATTTATCACCTTGGGGAACGTTGAGGGTCTGGCTGGGATTTAGATTTTGATTTATTTAAGATTTTTGGGGTTTGCTCGGAGGAGCTTGCAAGCATGGCGTCTGCTCAGGCTGATGGTCAAGTTCTGCCCCTTAATATTGTATTTTGACACATCTAGTTTTAAAGCTATACAGTTTACTCAAAAATTCAGGAATTTTATCTTGAGTGACCGACTCTGGTACATTTCGGATTCTGAGATTGTTTTTTTCTTGAGCAGTCGTCGAACTCTCAGAGTTTAGCCTCCATGCTTCTCAGTTTTATATTTAACTGTTCATTTTGATCTTCTAAGGTTAGAATTTTTTCTTCATTTATGTGTTATCTAACAAATCTGTTTTTTTATTTCTTCTGTATTTTTAGTTGTTCGATAAGGTATTGCTTCAAGTTGAGCTTCTAGGCAGTGCTTCAGAAAATCTGCCGTTATGTAAATTTTCTTTTTGTCTGGGTGAGTTTTTTTTATGGATTCTTCTAATCTTTATGAAGATAGAGCACTATTATCTTAGTTTGTTTTTTTTTCCTTTATAGGTTCTAGCTACAGGGGAGAATAAACTCAATGTTTCTTTTTCTGGTCCTTTTTCTTATCCTTCCTTGCAGGACTCTGTTTAACACGGGCTGCAACACTACTTTCCTCAGTATCTCAGCGTGTCCACTGCCTATTCGCGGTCATTCCTCTATTCAAACTCCAGTTCCCGCTGCTTCCAGATGCGTACATTCACCCACATAAGTCATCACCCCCCCCGAAAGGCACTTTGAATTCACTTAACCAATGAAAAATTGTTTAACCGTTTATTCGACACTTACTGTATTCAACACATTTAATCCATGTTTTCCAAGTGCACTTGTGACACTCATTGTTTTTAACACACACACACACATTTTTTTTTTTTTAATTTAAAGAAAAGAAAAAAAAACAAGTGTAACAAACCATCTTGCCAACTAAACTTTAGAGCATGGTCACAGACATGACTACCCTCAGCCAATAATTTAGCTCCTGGCTGTACTACAAATGAGATTCTAAGGAATACAGACAAAGACAGTACTGGCAATTCTAGGTGGTGCAGAGTTTATAATAACTTCTGATTGGCTTACCTGTACTTTGTAGGTCCAATGAGAGGTAGTTTCCTTCCCCCCTGCAACCCCCAAAAACTAATGTTCCTGGCACTATAGGGTCATTAGGTCACCACATCTCTGAAACTGCTATGTTTATAAAAAAAAAAAAAAAAAGAAAAAGGTTAACCCTAGCTGGACCTGGCACCCAGACCACTTCATTGAGCTGAAGTGGTCTAGGTGCCTATAGTGGTCCTTTAAGGATTTGAGAAATACATTATGAAAAGAGACGATGACCTATCAAATGTACTCCCATTGTGCTATTTTTACTTAAATGTGCCTTTTGCAGCCTGCTTTTGTACTTTTTAAAAATTGTTCTATGACATTATTTAAAAACTGAAGCCCAAAATGTCTACAGGAGGAGACAGTACCTTATCAGCCCCTACAGTTGCAGGCTATGCACATTGTTACTCAATACATTTATAACCATCTTCAAATAATTTAATATCTCCAAATCAATCCCATTTACAGAATGTTGAATTTCACATCTTTAAATACACCTGCTCTGAGTCTAGATTAAATTGGAGGAGGTTTTACAAACAGTTCATTCAATAATGTTCGCGCCAACCAACAGGTCACATTCTACAACAATTCTGGGTGAAACAGACGAATGATGCACTTTTGAAATTTAAATAACTCAAATTCCAATAGACCATAGCATGTATTACCTTTTATTTGTAATGTTTACAAGGTTTATCTCCAGTAATTGTGTTTATAATCCCTAAAAACATAATGCAATGGAACGCGTCACTACTTAAGTGTAGACTTGTATATACACATGACCAGTTACTTCAGTTGCCAAACAACATATTTATACGGATAGTTGGACAGTAGTCCCCTGGAAATTAATTTAAAACAAAACTATTAGGACCTTTAATCTTTAGAAAAAAAAAAAAAAAAAGGAATTGTAATTTAGTAGATTGACAGACGTTGGTACAGGCACCCAATAAGGAATGTACAAAGGTATTCCAAAAATACATAAATTATGTGAAAGCATGTTTTATGACAGCAGTAAACAAGTGCGTTATCCCAACTGACTTTCAACGGTATGCAAACATGAGCCTCCAAGCTCATAATCTTCACATCTTCTATTCAGAACACTTTAGTGCTCTCAATCATGCTAAAGACATGGCAGTATGAGTTCTTTGCTCAGAAGGTTCTTTAGAACATTCCTCCTCCCATGCCACCACCCATGCCTCCCATTCCACCCATGCCTCCCATTCCAGGATCCTTCTCTTCCTTAGGAATTTCTGTCACTACTGCTTCAGCAGTTGTTAAGAGTGATGCCACGCCAGCTGCATCCATTAAAGCAGTTCGTACGACCTAGGATGAAGAGGACATTTCATATTTATGTACACATTTTACATATCCCCTTAAGGAAAGGTTTTTTTTTTTATTTTTTATTTTAAACACTTATTCTTTAAAACTGCCAACACAATGAAACAAATGTCTTGGATAGAGATCTTTAACAGAGCTGGTATTACTCAGTTTAAAGTTGTAGAACTTACTATAATAAGTCTGATAGTGGAGGAACTATATACACTGCTGAAAAAAAAAAATAAAGGCAACACTTAAACAACACAATGTAACTCCAAGTCAATCACACTTCTGTGAAATCAAACTGTCCACTTAGGAAGCAACACTGAGTGACAATCAATTTCACATGCTGTTTGCAAATGGGATAGACAACACGTGGAAATTATAGGCAATTAGCAAGACAACCAAAATAAAGGAGTGGTTCTGCAGGACCACAGACCACTTCTCAGTTCCTATGCTTCCTGGCTGATGTTTTGGTCACTACTGAATGCTGGTGGTGCTTTCACTCTAGTGGTAGCATGAGACGGAGTCTACAACCCACACAACTGGCTCGGGTAGTGCAGCTCATCCAGGATGGCACATCAATGCGAGCTGTGGCAAGAAGGTTTGCTGTGGGTCAGCATGGTGTCCAGACCATGGAGGAGCTACAAGGAGACAGGCCAGTACATCAGGAGACGTGGATGAGGCCGTAGGAGGACAAGAACCCAGCAGCAGGACCGCTACCTCCGTCTTTGTGCAAGGAGGAACAGGAGGAGCACTGCCAGAGCCCTGCAAAATTACCTCCAGCAGGCCACAAATGTGCATGTGTCTGCTCAAACTGTCAGAAAGACTCCATGAGGATGGTATGAGGGCCCAATGTCCACAGGTGGGGGTTGTGCTTACAGCCCATCACCGTGCAGGACGTTTGGCATTTGCCAGAGAACACCAAGATTGGCAAATTCGCCACTGGCACTCTGTGCTCTTCACAGATGAAAGCAGGTTCACACTGAACACGTGACAGACGTGAGAGTCTGGAGACGCCGTGGAGAACGTTCTGCCTGCAACATCCTCCAGCATGACCGGTTTGGCAGTGGGTCAGTAATGATGTGGGGTGACATTTCTTTGGGGGGCCGCACAGCCCTCTATGTGCTTGCCAGAGGTAGTCTGACTGCCATTAGGTACCGAGATGAGATCCTCAGACCCCTTGTTAGACCATATGCTGGTGCGGCTGGCCCTGGGTTCCTCCTGATGCAAGACAATGCTAGACCTCATGTGGCTGGAGTGTGTCAGCAGTTCCTGCAAGACGAAAGCATTGATGCTATGGACTGGCCCGCCCGATCCCCAGACCTGAATCCAATTAAGCACATCATGTCTCGCTCCATCCACCATCCGTTGCACCACAGACTGTCCAGGAGTTGGCAGATGCTTTAGTCCAGGTCTGGGAGGAGATACCTCAGGAGACCATCCGCCACCTCACCAGGAGTGTGCACAGGCGTTGCAGGGAGGTCATTCAGGCCCGTGGAGGGGACACACACACACGCCTAATTTTGACTTGTTTTAATGACATTACATCAAAGTTGGATCAGCCTGTAGTGTGTTTTTCCCACTTTAATTTTGAGTGTGACTCCAAATCCAGACGGCCATGGGTTGAAAAATTTGATTTCCATTTTTTAAATTTGTGTGCGATTTTGTTGTCAGCACATTCAACTATGTAAAGAACAAAGTATTTCAGAAGAATATTTAATTCATTCAGATCTAGGATGTGTTATTTTTGTGGTCCTTTTATTTTTTTGAGCAGTGTATAATATAGACCTCTCCCTTGCAGACTCAATTCAGCAGCTGATCACCACAGCAGTAAATGGGTAGATGGTGACAAAACTGGAACTTTTCAGTCCGCTGCCCACGAAGGAGATATATTATTCAAGTGAAATACAAAGTTTACCAGGGTAGTTGAGGGGGGGGGGGAACGGGATGGGACACAATCTACTGTCCGTAATAGGTTATAAAAGTGGAAATACTGAAACTTTACAATTCTCACCTTTGTGGGGTCAATAATTCCTTTCTCCACCATATTTACAAATTCAGATTGCATTGCATCATATCCAATTTCTGATGGGCTCTGTAAGATTTTTTCTACAATCAGTGACCCTTCTACGCCTGCATTATTAGCTATGGTCATTGCAGGGATCTTAAGAGTTCGTCTCACAATTTCAATTCCTGCAAACAAAATACAAGTTTTTGGATATGCATCATCAACGATCTTTACAGGCCAAGTAATACTGACATTTTCCCAAAACATTCCTGAGTAACACTGGAGTAGATGGTCATGGTTAATTCCATGTATCTGTGCCTTTCCACTCTAACATAGGTGCAACTACTATTATGATCAGTGTGCTCTTTTCATGAAGTTGGCCATTTCTAATCTGAAAAGGAGGTGTTACAGAAAGCTCCAGCTCCAATAGTCTTTGACTACTATGAACAAGAGGGGTCAAAATAGGTCTCCAAAAATAAATACACACACACACACACACACACACACACACACACTATAAAATACCTATTTTCTGATCATCATTGGCTGGAGAAAGAGAATCCAAAGCTGGAATACATCTAAGTAATGCACATCCACCACCAAGAACAATTCCTTCTTCTACAGCTGCTCGTGTTGCATTCAATGCGTCCGTTACACGGTCTTTCTTTTCATTTACTTCAACATCACTAGTGCCGCCAACCTTGATTGGAATTAAAAATAAAATTATTAAATTGCTTGAGTATTAGATGCCATTTAAACAGTTATTTGCTACAAGCAAGTAGCAAGTTAAAGCGCTGTCAAACATTACATACAGCATTTATGTAGGTATTTATAAAACAGTATGTTTGCATAGTGTTAAAGAGTTACTCGGTGGTGCAACTAAAGGGGATGTGCAAGAAATTATTGTGTCCCCCCCTACTAGACACACTGATGCAAACATATACCTACAAAGACACACACACATTGACACATACCGGCATACAAATACCTATACACGCATACAAAGACTGGAATAAACACACTGACACGCACATATACAGACTGACACATATGGCAATTTATTAAGCACCCCCTGCTTCCATACCTTTTAATTGCATGGAGGGGACTCTCTGGGGCTGGCTGCCGCTGATGGGAGTCGGAGGAGCTCTGCCTACAGAACTCCCTCCTTAGTGCCTTTCTTTGGTCTCAGCCCATGCAGCCTGTAGAGTGGGAGGAAGTGAAAGATAGTCCCTTCCTAACAGCATATATTAAAGGGCCGAAACACCCGACCGGCCCCCGATGAGACGTGCCGATAGTGCAGGGGCCCAGTCAGGCTCTTAAAGGGCCACGGCGCCGACTGGGACCCTGTTTAGCAGTAATACCCATTGGGTGGACCTTGGTGCATGGGCCCCCGAAGCGTGCATAACATGGTGCAGCTGCACCAGCGTTAGTTCCGCCACTGGAGTTATTCCAGTCATGCTGTACAGTTATGATGCCCAGAACACCCTGGCACCGTTACCTACTAACAGTTTGCCCCATTACCTTTGTCCATGCCAGGTTTCCTATGCAGCAGGCTTGACAAACTTATGCAGAGCAGAGTGAGGATCCTGCCACTCATTCCTTAGCAGAGTGTGTCAGCTGATCACTCTCAGCCATTGAATGCCCCTCTTCATAGGAATATGTACACAGTTATTAGCCAGCTCTTGTCACAAGCTTGCTAATAATACTGCCAGAGGTGGAGTTACAACTCCGGTAGCAAAAAGATTAACCTTTGTATATATGGGGGGCGGAGCCTAGCTTCCAGGCTGAGCAGACGTGAGGAACCCAAGCTCCTGACCAAAACTGCTCTTTTTGGGGGAAACCAGGGCTACCACAGTCTTGTACACCTGGTCCACGACAAAGCAGTCTTAGTAAAAGGGAGGGCATACAGGAAGGGAATACCAGAAATTAAGAATACCAGCCTGAATGAATTTGTGGGGAAGGGAGAGACCTGCAAAAAGGGCAAAGAAATGAAAAAGGACAGCACAGAACAATTTCTCTCTCTCACAAATTGAACTATGTGGGATATGTAAATATCAGGGCTTAAAATTGTATACTGCTATGCCACTATCTAGGATGTAGAAAATGACTCACCACTGCAAGGCATAGTATAAGTGAATTTCTAATCACCAGGACTAAATTTTTAATCACCAATGGCTATGGGAAATTTTGAGTCCTGTTAATATATATTCAGGTATTACCATAAAGAACCATTTTATTATCGTGATTTTTTTTAAGCCATTGAATTGAAAATTGTTATAGAAATGTCAAAAACAGGGAATATGTGTCTGTTATTTAGGGTTTCAGTTTAACTGACACACAGAGCAGTGTTCTTACCTTGATGACAGCAACACCATCAGAAAGCTTAGCTAGTCTCTCATTAAATTTTTCCTTTTCATATTCACTGTTTGTGGATTCCAACTGCTCAAGAATTTCTTGAATACGTTTTTCAATCTGTGCTTTGTCACCCTTGCCTTTCAATAGCATAGTATCATCTTTAGTTACAATAACTTCTCCCACTTTACCAAAGTCGTGAGCTTGAATGTCTTCAATATTTAGCGTTAATCCTTCTTCTCCAAAAACCTAGAAGTAAAATAAAAATAATGTAGTCTGAAAAATATTAAATGTTTCTAACCATTTAGGCAACACACACACTTACAACTCCACCAGATGCAATGGCCAAATCCTTCAGCTGGTTCTTTCGGTTATCTCCAAAACCTGGAGCTTTCACAGCAACAACTTGAAGACCAACTTTTAACCTAAAAAATAAGCAAGGTAAGAATGTTTAATTAGGTTTTCAGTAGGGGTTAAAAAAAAAAAGTCCATCCAAGTGTTTAACCCCTCAAGGACCAAACTTCTGGAATAAAAGGGAATCATGACATGTCACACATGTCATGTGTCCTTAAGGGGTTAAAATGTTCAGTAGAGATCAAATAGTATAATGTTCAATAAAATACATAAAACCGTCTCACTGGTATATGGATGGGGTATGTGTACAATCCTCAGGAGTTGATCCGTCCAGGTTGTAGGTAATCCGTATATGTGAAGATAAACACGACAAGCTTCCAATGGTATAATATTGTAGCTCTAAAAAAGTAAAATAAATAAAAAGGAGATAGTACACTCACATTTGGTGGAGCTAAGGCCAGCTCTGGGATGAAGGGTGCTTAGCGGTATGATCCCCGCTAAAGGATATACTGGAGAGATGGGTCGTCTGTCCAACTTTGGTTCCGTCGCACTCCACAGAATATATGTATAAAAACAGCAATAGTGCTCTCGTTAGGAAAAGTAAAAGGAAATTTTAAAATAAAATATACTCACAATGGTAGAGCAGAAAATACTGCTCTATAGACAGCACTGGTGGAATAATCCCCACCTATGGATTGCTTGAAACAGGATACAGTAAAATGCCAGGAAAAATAAAGAAAAGTGTATATACAATAAAATAAGTATAAGATTGGTCCTATAAAAAAGGTAACCGAATAAAAAAAACAAAAAACTTTTTATTGCTTAAAATACACAATTTAAAGGACCACTCTAGGCACCCAGACCACTTCAGCTTAATGAAGTGGTCTGGGTGCCAGGTCCAGATAGGGTTAACCACCCCCCCCCCCCTTTTTTTTTTTTTTAATAAACATAGCAGTTTCAGAGAAACTGCTATGTTTATGAATGGGTTAAGCCTTCCCCCATTCTCTCTAGCGGCTGTCTCATTGACAGCCGCTAGAGGTGCTTGCGTGCTTCTCACTGATTTTCACAGTGAGAGCACGCCAGCGTCCATCGGAAAGCATTGATAATGCTTTCCTATGCGACCGGCTGAATGCGCGCGCAGCTCTTGCTGCGTGTGTGCATTCAGCCGACGGGGAGGAGAGAAGGAGGATCGGAGGAGGAGAGCTCCCCGCCCAGCACTGGAAAAAGGTAAGTTTTTACCCCTTTCCCCCTTCTAGAGCCGGGCGGGAGGTGGGCCCTGAGGGTGGGGCATTGCTGCATGGGAAATGTAATTGCGAGCGGCTCGCTCATGGAGATAGTACAGCCCCCAGCTGCACGTGACTGGCATGTGGGTGCAGAGCTCCCAGGGAAATGTAGTCACGCCGGTCACAGTGCACATTAGAAGGAGCGTCCATAGCTTGGCCAGTAAGGGGAGGGTGCGACTGATTACTAGTAGTTCCAAGTCAGCCGCTCGCCGCTCCTTCTAATGTGCACTGTGACCTGACTACATTTCCCTGGGAGCTCTGCTCCCATATGCCGGTCACGTGCAGCTGGGGGCTGTACTATCTCCACGAGCGAGCCACTCGCAATTACATTTTATTTTTTCCTGGCATTTTACTGTATCCTGTTTCAAGCAATCCATAGGTGGGGATTATTCCACCATTGCGGTGTCTATAGAGCAGTATTTTCTGCTCTACCATTGTGAGTATATTTTATTTTAAATTTTCCTTTTCCTACTGAGAGCACTATTGCTGTTTTTATATATATCCTGTGGAGTACGACGGAATCAGAGTCGAACGGACAGACCCACTTCTCCAGTATATCCTCTAGCGGGGATTATACCGCTAAGCGCTCTTGATCCCAGAGCTGGTCTTAGCTCCACCAAATGTGAGTGTACTATTGTATTTATTTTACCTTTGGAGCTACAATATTTCACCATTGGAAGCTTGTCGTGTTTGTTTAGCTTCACATATATGGATTACCTACAACCCGGACGGATCAACTGAGGATTGTACACATACCCCATCCATATACCAATGAGATAGTTCTATGTATTTTATTGAACATTATACTATTTGATCTCTACTGAACATTTTAAACACTTGGATGGTCTTTGTTTTACCTATTTTTTTATGGTATTTTAATAGAGACTATTATACCTAGGTCCTTCTATTGCTGTCTATTCATTTTGGCATATTCAATTTTTACCATATTATTTCCTGTATACTAGCGCAGCCCTTACCTCTATCTTTTTTTCTTTTAAAAAAATTAAGGCTAGTGCTCCCAACTGTAAATTGCGTATAAAACAAATGCATTAAAATAAAATAAATAAAAAATAAAATTTAACACACACTTTAAATGCTAGAATATGAGAAAGATGGAGAATTCTAAATAAATATAATAAATGACATTCTGATAAGTAATTTTAGCATAATGGAGTTCACCTGTTTAAAACCAGTGTACTTAGAGCCTCCCCATCAACATCTTCAGCAATTATAACCAAGGGTTTACGATGAGCATTGGCAAGTTCTAGAGCAGGCACAATAGACTGAATACTGGAAATCTTCTTTTCACTGAGCAAGAGATATGCATCTTGAAATTCACATTTCTGGCCTAGACAAGAACAAGAATTGTACATTAGTGGAAAAGAATCCCCCCCCACCACCAAACATTTTTTTAATAAAACTACTTTAACCATACTATGCACATTTACCTTTAGTAGTATTAATGAAGTACGGTGATATGTATCCTCTGTCAAATTTCATCCCTTCAATTATCTCCAACTCATCATGAAGAGTTTTACCATCCTGAAAATATTTGTCAAGAAACATACTATATTAGTGAGTAGTTCAATGTTTGTTTATAAAAACTTTACGTGTGCACGCGCACATTATAAATTTCCAACAGAATATAAAGTACTATATAGGAAGACACAGTTGTTGTTGTGGAGAATTACCTTGACTGTTATTACTCCTTTACGGCCAACTTTTTTCATGGCATCTGAAATTATCTTGCCAATTTCCTGATCACCATTTGCAGAGATGGTAGCAACCTGTAAGAAATTGAATGGTGAAACAAGGCATAGACTTAAACTGGAACTCTATGCACGATAATCACTTCATTTAGTGTAGCCTGGGAAAATCTATGGGTGCCAGGGAGCAGGTTGGGACACACACAAAACAAAAGCCCTCTATGGCTCTCCTGGCACCTAGGGAATGCCACCTCAGCCATAATGGTAGCGTGGAATTCACACAACCTAAAACCAATCTAGATGGCAGAGATTAACAGAACACCAAGATCAACGGCAACAAATTAACTCAGCCTATTATACACACCAACTATTTCAATCTTATTACCTGAGCAATTTCTTCGGGTGTTGTAACAGGCTTGGATTGTTTCTTCAACTCTGCAATTACTGCATCAGCTGCCAACATGACACCTTACAATAGACAAAAGTAAACTTTAACAAAATTATTCAATAGTTTTAGTTAAATTAAGCTATTTGGTTCTTATCTGCTTTCAGCATGATCATATACCTCCGTAACCCTCTCCCAAATAGATCAAGCCATCTGTGGTATCTACAGCTAATCCCATTAGCCCTTGATCCACACAAGCAAGTTTAGTTTTAAGAGAAAAAGATCCTAATCAATGTTTCGGTTTTACTGTAATCTAGATTAGGCAGCAACTTCTGCTATCTTCTTGTATAGGGCAGGTTTGTGTATACCTGCATACATGTGCCATGTTACTTGCATTCTACAACTTGCCATTTCCTAGAGAAGAAATGCATGAATTAAGCCCTCTAACCCGTGAGGCTAAAAGTCTTATGATCATTTATGTGCCAATACCCAGTTTTCTATTAAACTACTTAAACAGTTTGCCAAAAAAATAGGCTCTACTGAGTAGCTAACGAGTTGCTCCCCTCTTCAACAGCTTAAATAACAGTTTAGCTACAGAGTTGCTGGGTAAGTGAGGTTTATCAAACAGCTCAAAAACTGACAAAAAGACAGGGGGATATATTACCTTATGACAATTTCAGGTTATACAAGCACCAGTATTTAATGGCTATGATGCACTCTAAGCAACATAACCACTACACTACTCCTGCCAAGGGTCAACCAGGCACCACACCCAACTTTTACTATGTCACACAGACGGCCAGAAGCATTGTCGGATTTAAGCTTGCAGTATAGGGATTTAGCTCACTGGCTGAGAGTAATCAGGTAATGCACAGTCAATGAGATATCTCTACATAGCACAGCTTAGCTCAGGAGGGCTAACAAACTCCTGCTTAAAAATGTCCAGCTCTTTGGCAGAAGTTGAGCAGGTGGTGAGCGATGAACAGCAGACTTCAGAGAAGAAGTTTAACTGTAAACCATTTGCCAATGAGATAGGAGTGCAAGATGAACTGCTGACTCAACTATGCCTCAAAGCTATTACTGTCCTTTTTCTGTATAGTATTTATAACAAAAACAGAAGAGATTTTAATATGGAGAAAATCCAAGCAGGAGGCTGAAACAGATCATATGGAATTAAATACTGCTGGTGCCCAAAGCGTTCCTTTAATAGCCAAGGACATGATAGGGATGCCCAAAACACAGACCTACAAATGTTACAGAACTATAACTCCTATGATGTAAGCCTTCACATGGAAGTTCTATTTCCAAAACATCTGGGTACCTAGCTTTAGGCAATTCTAAATATATCACAAAAAGACGCAACTTTCCCTTCCCTTGGTTAATGGCTGTATGCATATTTTAGTACTCACCTCTTCTTATTTCTACTGGATTTGCACCTTTGCTGATCTTTTCAAAGCCTTCCTTTGCAATTGATCTTGCAAGGACTGTTGCTGTTGTAGTTCCATCTCCTGCCTCTTCATTTGTGTTATTTGCTACATCTTGAACTAGCCTGGCACCAATGTTTTTATATTTGTCTTTTAGATCAATTGCTTTTGCTACTGTGACACCATCCTTTGTTACTTTTGGGCTTCCCCAGCTTTGTTCAATGATGACAGTTCTGCCCTACAAAATAAAAGCCACTAATTCAAAATAAGGCATGGCAGTGATTTACAGCAAATAACACAACTAGAAGTCCTTAATGAAACACTTGTTATGTGGACTGGAGTGTTTCAAGGTCAGGAAACAACCATTATTGTGAGATGCAGTCAGCAAATTAGCCAGTCTATCAAAAGAACATTGCTATAAAAAGCAAAGTAAAACAGACAATAACCCCACTTATGTTTTGTGTAGGAGTCTTACTATACGATTCGGCTAAATGGTTGCAGAGTATTCTGTTGTAAGCAGTTAACAATATAATAGGGAATATATTAAATATTCAGGCTTTAATTTTCTTGACACGTTTAAATGCTTTACTTCTTTTTTTTTTTATCACATTACATACAAGGTCACTCAAGGGCAAGTGTTCCAGAACACATGCTAAATGATGGTAGTCTAAGTTTACCAATGTGTGTTTTTTTTTTTTTTTTGTAAACCTACGGTGATGCCCTCACACTAGCACAAGAAGCCATTTTTTTCTTGCCAGTGATTTCACAAGCTCAGTAGAGCTTGTGAAATCACGATCTTTGAGATATTCAGAACCTTCTAATCACATACAATGTTTCCAGCAAAGAATCATGAATAGGAATGTGAAAAAAAAAAAAAAAAGGGGGATTGCTCTTAGCAGAAATTACTTGATAGCTGTGCATGCATATAACATAACATATCAAAACATTAATACATAATCAAGTATTTTTTTTTTTTTTTTAAAACAATACTAGTTAGTTTACAAATAATACTAAAGGACAGCAAGCAAACAATATTTTGACACAAAGAGACCACTTTTTGGATGATACTTGATGTATCTGAGAGACGTACCTTTGGTCCCATAGTAACAGCCACTGCATCTGCCAGAAGGTCAACACCTTGCAGCATAAGTGCTCTAGCATCCGCCCCAAATTTGACATCTTTAGCATACCCACGGGCTAGATGAGGTGCTAATGCCCAAGACACCGGCCTCACTTGGTGCAAAATTGTTGGCAAACGAAGCATTTCTTTAGAAGAGAATAAATCAATCAATCGCCAGTTGCAAGATCTACACTATTACGTATGTTTATTCTATAGAGTAGAGTGAATATTTTGTGACTATCATTTACAGCTTTATTACAAGAATGCTTAAGCTTTACATGCTACTAAAATGCATTCACAAAATTACATAAAACTGTCCACAATTGTTATTTTAAGTTTAACCAGTTCTGCAAGCATCTACACGTGTTATATTATGGGTCAATGGCAAGAACACCGGAAAACAAAAGGATAAGAAATATTTTTTTTCAGTTTCGCAAATAAATCAGTTTCCGAGAAAAAGAAAATAAAAGGGGAGTATTTTGGGGTGTTAGTTTGTTTCGCATGTTAAACATTACCAAAAAGGAATTTGCAAAAGTTAAGATTTTTTTAAAGTTACATCCAAGTTCAAACCTTCAGTTTACATTAAAACAAAACACAAGGTCAAAACGCAAAACACGTGTTTTACGGATTAAAAAAACAAAACAAAACATCCCCTAATAATAATAAATATACATATATTTCTGAATGAAATGCATGCAGGAACCCTTGTGTACATTAAAAAGACCTAACATTTTACTTAAAGCGATAAAACACTTAACGCTAGTTGTGGAGACATACACGGCGCACGCAGGAGGCACTACTCACCGTATAGCTATATAGTAAATTAAATGGACAGGCAGACACAGAGAGGATATTTTCAAACACGTGTCTAATGCAGACTGACGAAAAGTCTAATCAGATAGCAGACCTTCTACCTCCTACACGGTCACGTGATGATCAATGTCCGGGCCTCCTCCCAGCCCCGGAGCGAGCATGGCTATATTACAGCGCCCCCATGTGACGCCAATACTTCGCTCTGACCTATCATGTTCTGGTAATGGCTTATGGTCCATGCAGGTTCCCGGGCTCCATTTCCAGAACGTTCTGGAACTTCTCCGTTTTCCAAGGTCGGAGGTGACATTGACAGGCGCCCCGGATGTGATCCACTCGAGCCCTTTTTCGTGGGTTTGAATTTTAAATTATTTTCGTATTTAGAGCAGCAGAAGGTGATTGCGGCAGGGAACCGGTTTTGCTGCGGGGGCCCTGCTCAAGTTTGATACGATTCGCCTGCTGTCAGTGGGGCAGTTCCTGTCAGTGGGTCATGGTGATCCGGTGCCGCGCATGCGCGGGGGAGAGTCTTTGTATTCACGTGGATAGGACAGAGCCGTCAGATTGATCTGAGTGTTGAACGAGGTGGTATCTCATACAAAGCAGCATGGTAAGCCTATACGGCAGTCATTGTGTTTCGTATTTTAAATGTCAGTATTTTTAAGATATCAGTACTCTCAACAGCACGGTGATATTCCGTAGCTAGCTGTGTCCTGATTATATATTGCATGGTGACTATAGTCACCTAATTATCACACAGGATTAGATACAAAATTACAAATTCTGGTGAATTCTGATGTGAAAAAAAACCTCACAACAATTCTCTAACTATGCTATAAGTACAGTTAATTAGTTTTAGCTTGGATATTCTAATTCGGGTTTTTAATTCAGTTCGCTGGGAGTTAAGTGAATAGTCCCAGTTTAGCAATTTTTCATTAACCATTTGTTACCCCTGTTTAAAATTGTATTTTCTCCCATTCGTATTGATTATGCATTTTTATAATGTGTGGCAGAGGGAATAAAATATTTGCATGTTCCGAAAGGTTTACTGCTTTTGTAAAGAACACACAAACCTGCAGTATACATATAATTTATTTTGATCCATACATATATTTTATCACCTAGAAGTCAGATTTTCTGTAAATGTTAATATTTAATATGGTGATTTGTGTGTTTGTGTAACTATTCTAAAGGTATATCTCTTAGGATACTTGATTAGACCATGCATCTGCTGACCTTGTGAAGGTTATATGGGAGAAAGGGACTCCACCGCTCAGTCAGCATTCTATGGCTGAGAGTCAGCTGATGCTCATTAAACACAGACAAATTGATGTAATTTGTTTTTAAGGAACACTAAAGTGTCAGGAATACAAACCTGTATTCCTGACACTTGCATAACTTTTTTTTTGGTCTGGCCCCGACTCCATGGCAAACTGGATGATCTCTGCCAATTCAATATTTTTCCCAGACGATAGCATTGGAAGGCTATTGGTCAAATGGTTATTAATTGAATCAATGCATCTCTATGGGGAATGCTCTGCATGAAAGCACTTAACGCCAGCAGCACTGACACAGGAGTGATTGCCGCTAGAAGTTTTACTAGGATCAATGTAAACACTGCCTTTTCTCTGAAAAGGCAGCGTATACACGGAAAAGCCTGCAGGGTCATGTTATAGACATCAGAACCACTACATTAAGCTATAGTGGTTACGGTGGCTGTTTATCTGGCACTATAGGTTTCTAAGATGCTCTCCCCCTTTCAGTCACTCACCTGAATCCAGCCCCAATGCCCCTTAGTGCTGATTCAGGCTCTACCCATGCTAGATGGCAGGGGAGACCTAATGCGCATTATGATTTCTCTTTGGAAAGCATTAATCCATAAATCCGGTGACTCTGGAAGTCCTAGTGCATAGCGTGAGGACGTCCAGCGTCATTTAGAGGACCAAAAGTAGTCTACAAGCATTGCAGTCCCTCCAGTGGCTGTCTGGTAAACACCCACTAGAGGGGGAGTTAACCCTTTCTTGTGATTGTGCACAACATTCGCTCACTTCTAATCATCTGGGACTACTATTGCAGTTTATTTAACTAAAACTGCAAAAATGACATGCTCAGTGACGTGGGACATTGCATCCAGACGACTTCAATGAGCTTAAGTGGTCTGGGTGCCTAGAGAAACATAGAATGTGACGGCAGATAAGAATCATCTGTAAAATGGCATGAGCAATTCCCTCTTTTTACTGCTAATACCTCTCCCAAAACAACCAAGCATTCTGCTAGCATTTCCTTACATTGTCTGCCTACCTTTAAGTCACCAGAAATAATCACCCCTAAATCCCTTTCCTCAGATGTTGAGGTTAGGACTCCGATAGACAGCCGATAGTGTAATATGCCAAAATCCAAGGGTAAAATTAATAAAAAGCAGGTAGTTAACACATTTAAAAGAGCTTAAACCAGCTCTGGGGTGAAGGGGCGTTAAGCGGTACAATCCCCACTATGGGATACAATGGAGAGGTGTCTGTCAATCCGGTCTGAATCTCCAAAGCTCAGAGATATATAAAAGATAATAGTGCTTTCAATTTATAAGAAATGCAATATAAAATTAGACTCACAAGTAAAGAGCAGAAGATACTGCTCTGTTGTAGTAGCGTTGGTGGAATGATCCCCACCTAGGTTTTCTTTGCGTACAGGATACCTAAAAATACCCCTATTTTATCCTGTTATTAGTAAGACTTTTATACAAACATTTTATTATCCGGAATGATCAACTCCTGAGGGTTACACCATTATTTTAGTGAGACTAACCATTTAATTTGCTGTATAATCACTTAGACTAATTTGTCTGTTTTTCAATTGTATATTTACTACTATAATACTTTTTGGCTCAACCCTCACCTCCTCTTTCTGTTCTTACATCTAGTTTTTAAGGGTCTAAGAGGGATTCCCTTTTTTTTTTTTGGGGGGGGGGTGCTGCCCCCTCTTTGTGTTGTTTAACGCTGACTCTCCCCCCTTTTGTATCTCACAAGACTACTATTGTCCAGTTCCACACCTCTTGTGATAGAATCCTCCAACAACTGCTTTCTATTAGGCCTCACCATAGTCTCCAAGCCTGTCTCCATAATACCACTACCCTCGGTGCCTGAGCCTGTCTCCATAACACCATTACTCTGTGCTAAAAATGAATTATGAAGAGCAACAGACTGTGCAAAATGCCTTTTTATCCACAACTCTACATCTACCAGATCCTACAGTAATCCATCTGCCATTCCTAGTATGTCTCTGTGGCAGTGGCTTTGCAGCAGTTCCATCCTGAGTTTGTTTACCAGATAATTTACAAATCTCAGACTTCAAAAATGCAATCTCCTGCTGCAATATAGAGAACTGTCTCCAGATTAGACCGCATCAAAATCTCCAAAAAGTGGAACGTGAAACAAATGCATAACAACTATTACACTGAACTAAGTCTGACATTTTAATGAGGTGAGTAATTTAAATCAAACAAATCTTAATTTATTTTTTTTGTTCTCCTGTATACCTCAGATTATCTCCAATCACACACTTTGAAGCAGCAACCAAGCTAATGACCACATCCCTTATATAACTCCTAAAAGCACCACCCACTAGGAATGTTTAATACCGGGGTAGGCCTCTGCTTATTTGCAAACAAAAGCTAATTAACCAACAATCAATAGTAAGTACCTAGCTAAACAAATAAAATGTCTTGCCAATTACCAACAGGAAAGCAAACCTTGTGCAATCAGTAACATTTTCCTAGAGATGAATCTTACCTGTAACAGTAAGAAAGAAAATCTCTTGGCAAAATCTTAGACAGTTGAAGCTTCTGTAAAACTCTCCAGATTATCTCCAATTACACACTCAAGCAGCACTTAGATGTAGCAACCAAGCTATACTACAGTGTCCCTTTTAAGCACATTGTGTATTTTTTTTTAAAGATTTTTCTTCATAATGTCAACTTGTATTTTTTAGGCCGGACGTGCTTTCAGAAGCTTTCTTCCATTGTTTGATCGTGTTCTTGTTGAGCGGTTTGCAGCAGAGACTGTAACCAAAGGTGGAATAATGCTTCCAGAGAAATCACAGGGTAAAGTGCTGCAAGCAACAGTGGTAGCAGTTGGAGACGGAGCCAAAGGGAAGGTAATTTTGTTTCTGAGCTAGGGTGCTCGCCATCCTAATTTTCTTTTTGAAGAGCCCTATGCTATAAGGCTCTAAGAAAAGAAGAAAAAAAATTGCCTACGACATTTCTGAATATTGTTAAAATTCTGTTTACACCACTTCGTGCTGTTGCCCTTCCTACATGGCTTGGATTGTCAGTCTTGACATCAGTGCACTTTCTCAGTAAATTTAATGCATGTCTATGAGTAGCTGCTAATCAGTGCGTCTCTGTGGTGGACTTGGGCAGCAGAACAAACACTTAATTTTCTCTTTAAAAGGCCGCGATTACAATGCTCTCTCTGCAGGGACTCGCTGTGGATGTTCTGGTGACTATAGTGTCCCTTTACATTTTGTTGCACACTAAGTCAACCCGTTACCTGCAGTGATGCTAACAATTGAACGCTGCTTGAGGAAGTCTCTGTCTCTTTCATACAGCGCAGCCCTCACCCTTGCTAAATAGTCTGACTCTTCCTCTCATTAGTTCATGCTCCCTCAATCCTAGGCATCTCTTTAATACGTTTAACTCCCTTCTTTGCCTTGATGTGGCCACTCCCCTAACTAATCTTTCAGCTGATGGCTTTGCATGTTACTTTACTGACAAGATTAAACTGTTAAGGAATTAATTCTCTCCACTCTCTCAACCTCACTTGGATTATATCATCCCTACTCTCCAACTACTGAACAGACTATTTTTTTTTTTTTTATTACTTGTGAGACTTCACTGAATACAAATGCATTTTATTGCAGTAACTGCTAACAGTATTATGACACATTGTCACAGTTAATATGCTATGCAGTACTAAAATTTTAAAACTTCTTAATTTTTCACTTTTTTACATTGTATTCATATATGAAAAACTTAATCCTGTTTCTCCTGAATAAAATTTATATAGAATTGTGGGTGCATTTAATATGAAAGAGGTGAATTACAGTTGGACAGACATAGCGCAGATGCCAGGTTTTGTTTTGATCACAACTTGTACAACTGGCTCAGTTCTTAGAGTTACAAATGATCTAATTACAGCTAAATCCAAAGGCCACTACTCATACTAATTCTTCTTGACACTGTTGATCATGGCCTCTTTTTCCTAACTCTACAATCTCTTGGTCTCTGTGACACAGCCCTCTCATGGTTCACCTACAATCTCTCCCAATATTCTTTGTCATTTTATTTTTCTTCTAATCCTGTCTGTCTGAGTTCAAGGTTCAGTTCTTGGTCCCCTTTTGTTCTTTCTGTACTGTATCTCTTATCCAACTCATTAATTTGGATTTCGCTACCACCTGTACGCTGATGACACCCAGATATCTCTCTCCCCTGCTGTCCTACAACGTCTCACCAATTACCTTTTTTCTTCCATCTCTGACTGGATGTCCTCCCGCTTTCTGAAACTAAATCTCTCTAAAACAGAGTTTCTTATTTTACCTCCTTGTAACACCGATCCTCCTCTTTCATTCTCCCTGCAGGTTGATGGTACCTGCCTCACCCCATCCTTTCAAGCTCGATGTATTGGTGTAATTTTTGATCCTGGCCACACCTTTGTGCTACATGTCCAGTCTACTGCTAAAACTCGTTAATTCCACCTTAAAGGCACACAGACCACTTCTGCCCATTGGAGTAGTCTGGGTGCCAACTCCCACTACCCTTAACCCTGCAACTGTAAATATTGCAGTCGTCATGAACTGCAATATTTACCTTGCAGGGTTAACTCCTCCTCTAGTGGCTGTCTACTAGACAGACGCTAGAGGGCACTTCCGGGTTTGTAACACAGATTTTCTATGTGCTATAGCGTCGCTAGATGTCCTCACGTTATGGGAGGACCTCCAGCCTCGCTAAAATCCCAATAGGGAAGCATTGAAAACATTTTTCAATGCTTTCCTATGGGGAGGTCTAATGCGCATTAGGTCTCCCTCGCCGGATGTCGGCGGGGGAGGAGCGTGGGCGGACCCTGGACCAGCGCCGAGGGACATCGCGCTGGACTCCAGTTAGTCACTGAAGGGGTTTAAACCCCTTAAGCAACCTGGGGTGAGAGGGGACCTGCAGTGCCAGGAAAACTGTTTGGTTTCCTGGCACTGGAGTGTCCCTTTAAAAGCATTGACTGCCTACGCCCCTTTCTTAGAGAAGATGCTGCCAAGGAGCTTGTTCATGCTCTAATAATCTCTTGCATGGACTACTGTAATTCTCTTCTAATTGGTCTCCACAGAAGCCGTACTGCACCCCCTCCCCCCCACTATCTGCTGCCAGGCTGATCTTTCTCTCCTTTCGCTCATCTCACACCTCTCTCTATCCCAACGCTGGCTTCCTGTACAGGACACCCTACAGGTGTAAATTCAAAATACTAACCCTTACCTATATAGCTCTAGCCCCTCTTGCATTTTTTTCACTGATTTGTAGGTATACCACCTCTCGGTCTATATGCTCCCCTGGTGACCACCTCCTTGCACCCTTACTGCAAATTCACGCTTGCAAGACTTTTTGTGGGTGGCTCATTTCCTTTGGAATAACTTGCCTACACGTGTCACTCTCCCCTAGTCTTCAATCTTTTAAGAAGTCCCTCAAAACACATCTTTTCAGGAATGCTTATATCCTCCCAGAGTGACTATCTCACAAACCTGCCTCTTGGGCCACACTCCACTCTCACCTCCAGTTCTGCTACTTTCCCAACATGTCTATTTGCTGTCTCCCTTTTGTTTTTTATACCCCACCTCCTCTAGACTGTAAGCTTGTTTCAGCAGGGTCCTCACATACCTATCGTTACTGTTACATTTTATTGTAAAGCACTGTGGAATAAGCTGGTGCTAATATAAATACCAATAATAATACCACTCATAGCAACGCCCTAAATACTCCCAACACCTAGGGTGGATGTTCTCAAACATATATGTAGGAGCCGAGCAAAGTTATGTCCATGGGATCTATGAAAACATACTCCCAATGAACAAATACAACCCAAGGGGTGTAATCTAAAAAGGCTTGCAGAAGCTACAGATGTTTTGTCGTCTAGATTTTCTGTTAAATTTATACACTTTCCAATGCAGCTCAATAAGAATTATTTGCAAGGTGGGTGCTCTGAGCAATTGTCAGCTTTGTGTGTTTAGCTCAATAAGTGTCTGTCAGCAAAGGGGCTGTAACATGATTAATTTCTATTAAAATGGTCACTTTTTGTAAATTGACAAAAGTACACCTAAAACTGTGCTTTAGTTGTCTGGAGCACTGGTGGAACTACCTATGGTGCTTAGGATGCCAGTCAGTCATATTTGATCAGATTCCCAGGCAGGCATCGCAGTCCTTAATATCCTGACTGGTCCCCTGTCACACTGGTAGTCCTGGAAGGAAATACAGACAGACTGTCAAATTATCTAAGTACTTATTTTGGGGTTGGGAGCAGTGTTAATTTTGGCGGCAAATTTCAACTTTAGTTTTAGTCACTCTTTTGACTTAAATACCATTTTAGTGATCTGAATTGCTTGTCAATTAAATCTCCTGTAGATTTTAGTTGATAAAACTAAAATCTAATGGTTTAGTTAAAGCCTCCATCTGTCTTTTATCCCTTCCACAGCCCCTTTGTGTCCTCCCAGCCACTCCAGGCATCTTTCCTATGCCCTGGTCTGTCTCTTTTGCCCATTCAACAGCCTCTCTGTGCAGTGTTAATTTTTTTTTTTTAGCTGCAAATTTCAGTTTAGTTTTAGTTATAGTCTTTTGACTAAAACGCTATTTTAGTCGACAAAATTAACACTGGTTGCAAGAGGGTCAAGGCACTCCAGGCACCACAACCACTACATAATGTCTATAGTCATAGTCCTTTAAAACTTGCATTTATGACCGGTGGTTGTGCACAACAATCACCCAAGACCTCATCCATATACTGCTGTAACGCTAGCTTCACAACAGAATCTCTTGAGGTGGGTCGAATTGAACAGATGTATGCACTGTGTACAAATATTTGTTTAGGCAGAGTCGAAAGTACAGTTCCTTCTCGAACATCCCCTTGCCCGCCGCTCTTTAATCCGTTTTATTTATATTTAACTTCTAGGATGGAGCTATTCAACCAGTAAGTGTTAAAGTTGGTGACAAGATCTTGCTACCAGAATATGGAGGCACCAAAGTGGTTCTAGATGATAAGGTGTGTATTAAAGCTTTGTGATTGACTGACTGGTGTGGGGGGAGAGTAATTTTTTTTGTCTCTTTGAATAGACTACATTTTCTCATTATATATATATATATATATTTTATTTTTTTTTTATTATATACAGGACTACTTCTTATTCCGGGACGGAGATATTTTAGGAAAATATGTAGAGTAAGCGATTGTTTTTGATCGATCTTCATTCCAGGATAACACATCTTGTCAGGTTTATTGTAAATATAATTTCTTTTTGCTATAATGTAGAAATCTACACTTTGTATCTATTTTTTTTTTTTTTTTCGCCTCTATTTTTACCATGCTTTGTAAAATGATCTAGCCGTATTTCTTTTTTTGCCATTGTTTAAATAACATCATTTCATATGGTAAATAAATATATTGTTTAAGAAGGATTCTAGTGTGTGTGTGTTTTTTTTTTTTTTTTTTTTTTTTTTTTTTTTTTTTTTTTTTTTTTTTATTTATTTATTTTTTTTTGTACATAAACTACACCTAAAGGACTAGTTTTTACCAAAAAAAATGAGGTGCTGATTTGCAACGCTGGCGTTTGGCCCCACTCCCTTGCTCTGTGTACAATTACATTTCATATCATCTCCTACACTGCTACTGTACTAAAATAAAAGACTTGCTACAAAAGATCAGGCAGCTGGATTTAGATACATAATCCTGATATTGCTAGAAAAATGAAGATGCTTTACTTCAAAAACCTTTTTGTATAAACCAATCTATATCTTCGGCTACAAAATACTTAGCCTAGATATGTTCCGCTGCCCATGTGTAGCTAAGGTTTCTCTGCAGACTGAACATTTAAAGGCCCACTATAGTGCCAGGAACACATACTTGTTTTCCTGGCACTATAGTGCCCTGAGGGTGCCCCCATCCTCAGGGACCCCCTCCTGCCCGGCTCTGGAAGGGGGAAAGGGGTAAAAACTTACCTTTTTCCAGCGCTGGGCGGAGAGCTCTCCTCCGATCCTCCTCTTCTCCTCTTAGTCGGCTGAATGAGCACGCGCAGCAAGAGCTGCGCGCGCATTCAGCCGGTCACATAGGAAAGCATTCATAATGACGCTGGACACTGAAAATCACAGTGAGAAGCACGCAAGCGCCTCTAGTTGCTGTCAATGAGACAGCCGCTAGAGGCTTTGGGGGAAGGCTTAACCCATTCATAAACATAGCAGTTTCTCTGAAACTGCTATGTTTATTAAAAAATGGGTTAACCCTAGCTGGACCAGGCACCCAGACCACTTCATTAAGCTGAAGTGGTCTGGGTGCCTAGAGTGGTCCTTTAAATACCATGGGGAACAACCCGTGGTACAGTGTTACTGCCCAGTATACCTTAGAATTATTGTAAACAAATCAAACAATGGGGGGGGGGGAAAGTAAAAAATTGCAAGTGTAAAATCATGTAGCTACAAGCTATATAGAGCCGCTAATAAAAAGCTGCAAAAAAGGTTACAGAAAAAGCATGTAAAGGTAGTATCTCATTCAGACCCTTAGGAGAGACCATGTCCAATTCATGTATCCAATAAGCCTCCTTTTATAGAAGCATCCTACCTCGGTCTCCGCCTCTCTTTGTGTTTGCGATGAGATCTATCCCTACAAACATCAGGGCTGACGGCGGGTGTTTATATTCCAAAAAGTGCTTTGCCACCGGTTTATCTGATGTGGAGTCCTTATATGCCAATGTCTTCTAATGCTGTATCTGTCTACCCTATGTACATCAGCACACGGGGCATAATTTGTACATAACAAAAGTCTTGCACGTAATGGTATATCTTATTTGGTATTTCCATTATGTGTGTGTGGGGGTGTTTTTTTTTTTTTGTTTTGTTTTTTGTTTTTGTTTTTTAACTATAGCTACCTTAGCATCATGGTGGGTAGGGGACAAATCGTCCATGATACACCTTTTGAGTAAAGGTTTGGCGTTTGTGTCCAAATCAATTTAGAAGGAATATTGAATTATTCAAACTTAGAAGAAGGATGCAGCTTAAATAATTTTTCGATAAACCTGGATCCCATAAATTACCATCACCACTGGAAAACAAAGAAAAGTTCTCATTAAAATCAACGTTTGACCCTCAGTCCAACAAAGCATCCATTAAAACTTTTGAATCCACTACCCACCATGATGCTAAGGCAGCTATAGTCATCATAATATTTCCAAACAGAGGGAAATAATCAGAGACCTAGCAAACATTTAAATCACTATCCATTCGGCGGACAAAGGAGGGGGCATTGTAATCATGGATTACACTCATTATGTTGGAGAATAAAAGAGCAACTGGCGGATAAACACACGTACAGTCCCCTACAACAAGATCCTATCAGGGACATTCAAAACAAAATAGATGTTTTAAGTATGGGACTTCGCGCAGGATACCTTGACTTAAAGCTGTACCAATACCTTTTTAAAAGTCATCTGCACACACCAATTATTTACACTATACCCAAAATTCATAAGAACCAACAGAAACCCCCTGGATGCCCAATAGTGTTAGCAAAGGATGGACTTTTTGAGCCTGTAGCTAAATAGTAGACTATTTCAAGCACCTGTAGAAGAACTCCACACGTATCAAGGACACACAATCTCTCCTAACAGAAATCACACAGATATTACAGAAAACAGACCAGTCCTCATCACAATGGATGTTCACAGCTTATACACGGTGATTCCTCATGAAGAAGGGGTAAGTGCAATGCATCAGGTATTGACACAATCTAACTCATTTACAGGCCCACCAATTGAATTTGTTTTGGAACTCTTGATGCTCACATTACAAAATAATTGTTTGATTTGAAGATCTATTGTACTTACAGATAGCAGGTACTTCAGTGGGAGTGGCAATGGCTCCAATGTACGCTTATGCGTATATGTATGTGTACGAGGAAGAGCACATTTTTGTCTAAGTATAAAAAACACATCCAAGGCTGGTATCGGTACATAGATTTGCTTATAATATGGAAGGGCTCTATACAAACAGCACAACAAATGGTGGAGCAGTTAAATCTTCTGACTTCACCCATTAGAATGACTGCCAACATCCATGCAGAACAGGTCCATTTTCTAGACATATATGTATAGGTGAAGGTAGACTGGAATACAGTCTTTTCACCAAGCCTGCATTATCAGAGTGCACACCCCAAAGCACTCAAGGATTTCTTACCCAAAGCGCCGTTCTTACGCGTTATTAGACATAACTCTAATCCAGAAACAACGGAACAACAACTACAGATAACTAAATTCTTGACAAGAGGCTACCTGCACCATATCTTTAAGAAGCAAGAAATGCACACGCAAGTGAGGTGATCAGCCCCACGAGATTATTTCCAATGGTATTTCATCAATCTACTCCAATTACTTCTACAACCAGGAAGAATTGGAAGATATCTAGCGATGACACACTCCCCAAAGTATTCAAGGAACCTCCTCTAATTGGTTACAGAAGAAATAAGAATCTGAAGGACTTACTGGTACATACCGACCCTGTCAGAAGTTATACTCAAGATACATCAGTCCAGAATCGAAGATCAGTTTGGTGCTTGTAATGTGTAACATGTGACCATATGGTGCCAGCTTGCTTCTTTAATCATCCCCACACCAATAAGATATACCATTACGTGCAAGACTTCTTCTGTTATCTACAAATTATCATGCCCCTGTGGGCTGAGACGGAAACGGCACTCTGAGCGCATTAGAGGACATCAGTCCAGCATCAGATTGGCATAAAGGGACTCAACCTCAGATAAACCGTAGCAAAGCAATTTTTGGAGTATATGTCAGCCCTGAAGTTTGTAGGGATAGATCATATCTCAGATCCAAAGAGAGGCGGAGACCGACAAAAGGAGGCTTATTGCATACACGAATTGGACACTGTGTCCCCTAAGGGTATAGATGCGAGCATGGCTGCCATGGTGGTCTGAATCCCTGTGTGAGTGTTAATAATTTGATGTTGTGAGCTAGACCCTGGCTGTGGATTGTCAGGGCTTGTCATCATTATCTTGTACAATTCAGCTTTCTTAGCCATGGCCGGGTATGATATCCCTCTACGCCTGAGTTCTGCTGCGATCTTAATAAACAGGGACTAGAGGGGTCTTGGCTTTCTGCTGCTGTAGGAGCCGTAGTTGGAGTAAGGGGTCTAGCTGGCTTGCTTGGTAGGGAGAAATCGTCTGCTTTATCTGACACGTGCGACATATTATAATTAAGATTTAGACATGAGTTTTGACTTGCTATATTTGTAAAACTTGCACAACCTGGCTTTTAATTGCCGGGTGGCGAAGAACTTAACTACTAGTGGGATGGTGAGGCCCTGCTGATGCCAAGTGGCTGATAGAGGCTCTATCTATGATTTTGCCCTGTTCTGTGCCTTTGAGCGAAGACCGGGTGTAGGCCTCTTGGAATTTAATACGTATAAGGGGATGGGTAGAAGTGGCGTCCTAACTAGAGCTCTTGAGTAGAGCGGTTCGAGACAGCTATCTATGATTTGGACCGTTTGAGCTGGTAACCTCTATGTGAGGACGGGTGTTGGTCTCGCAGGATTACAATTTGCTTTATCTGTGTCTGGCCCGTTCGAGTACCCTAACTGCCAGTATAGCTCTGTTTGTTGTAAGTGGTATGTTGGAGCCACGTACCTGCTCGTTCTCAGGAACATGGTCTTACCAGCCGTGGGGCTTCTGAGATTATTAACCTGTGCCACCTGTGAAACCAAGACTAATATTGGTGACTTTTTTAGAGTTTGTTTTTTTTTGGATTGATTTTTTAGGTGATACATACCTGTATCAACGGTTGATCCTTTATGGGGTGACTGGTATGGGTGGGTACGTCTGGCTCTAACAGCTTAAGGGAATGAGGTGATTCTTATTAAATGTCACGTACTTTATTGATGATTGTTTGTACTTGTGGAGTATCATGACCTGACTGTTAAAGTAACCTTGCTAGGTGCTAGGCCTTTTGTACGTATGTGATGATTCTAGCGTAGTCTTACCTCTAACGTTTGTGTCTGGTATGCCTAAAATGGTTTTAGGAAATATGTTTATGTTATTCTGATTAGCGTGTCTGTAAGTGTGGCTAGCTGCCTTCCTCTTACTTCTTGTGTCGTTTGCCGTAATGATGTAGTATCTGTGTTTAGAAACGGATATTGTTTTTGGGAAGTTTTTTTGTGACTTACTGGCTGTGCTTGTGAACTGTAGACGTATTCTTGTTATGGGGTAGTAATCGTTAACCCAGTTATTTAGAAAATAGGGGTTCTGAATGTAATAAATTTGAATGACCATGATTAGTGCTTATGTTCCCTTTGTATAGGATCATATTAGTAATTTAACATACCGTATATTTCAGAGAAGTCAAAATGCCAAGGATGAAAATTCGGTGAGTGTAGCTCAGGTTCTGGAATACATAATAACTTCTTTGAAAATGTAACCTTGTTTGTTACCCCAGCAATCTCACAGGAACAGGTTAAATAAATTTTTACGTAAAACCTTGTTATCATGTGTTTAACTGTCTGCCCAATTTGTCATAATTATTAGTAACTAATTAGCCATTTGTATTTATTAGCGGTAAATACATACACTATTGATTACTGACTACGCTGAACACAAATATTAGTGTTTCAAAAAGTTTTTTTCATTTTTCACACACAAACGGCCCTTTCACTGACTAAATCATTGTTGTGATACGTTTTACGGTTTTGAAACACTAATATGTGTTCAGCGAAGTCTCCTGAGTATAACAGTACCCCTCATGTACATGTTTTATAGTGTTTTCAGAAGTTACAGAGTCAAATATAAGGCTTGCGTTTCAGTTTTTTCACATTGAAATTCACCTGGTTTGCTACGTTGCCTTTGAGACTGTATGGTAGCCCAGGAATGAGAGAATTAATCCCATGATGGCAGACAACCTAAAATATTGCAAATAGGGTATTATCAGTCTTTTTTAGTAGCCACTTAATCACAAACACTGGCCAAAGTTGGCGTTCATATTTGTATGTGTGTGCAAAAAACAAATATAAACTCTAACTTTGACCAGTGTTTGTGACTAGGTGGCTACTAAATACTGAACATACCCGATTTGCAATACCTTTGGTTGTTTTCTTTTGCAAATGTTATGCCATCATGTGACCGCACCAAGCAGACTCTGTAAAGGGAACCAGCCTGACCCCAGTTACAAAACAAGACATCTCAGATTTACTGCATGAAATGAGGCAGCTGCATGCTGCAGACTTAGACCTGCTCAAAACCGAAATCATGGCAGTCACGGCACGCACACAGGCCCCCGAGGAAGACATCTTGAACTTGAGGCAGGAGGTCCAAGGTGTAAAATAATCCATTCACCAATTGCAGTCTTCCCAGGCCACTCTAACAACCAGGGTGGACCTGGCAGAAGACCGCCACAGGCGTGTAAACCTCAAGATCCGTGGCATACCCGACTCTATTGGCATCACAGAACTACCCCACTACCTCAGACGACCTCCTTCATGCCGCACGCCCAGGCAAAGAAACTCACCATTGAGGGCTTCTTTCGCATCCCAAAACCGAGGCAAGCACCACCAAAAGCCTAGCAGGACGTCATCGTCAGATGCCACTCGACCACCGACAAGATTCGACTAATGGCTGCGGTCCAGGGCAAGACCCCGCTCAACTTCGAAGCCTCTCAACTCACCTTCTTCCAAGACATAAAGCGCAACACATTACTATGGCATCGATCAATGGGGCCTGTGACCAGCCAGCTGGGAAAAGCGCGCATTGAGTACTGGTGGGCTTTACCACGCACCCTGATAGTCACCAGAGAGGGTATCACAAAGAGACTGTCCACACTAACAGAAGCAGACTCCTTTCTCCGAGCCCTGGGGATCCCCACGAGAGAAGCGCTGACAGCAACTCCATCCAATTCACATACCCTTTACC